GGGAGTTTTCCTCTGCAATAAACTGCCTTGCATTCTCAATTAAAGTCATCGCTCGGCGGAGGATTATTAAGCTTTGACGTAAGCCCAGAGAAGATTTGAGGAGTCTTTACCATGAATGGTTTGCTCGGGAGATATTTTGTTTGGTTAATGATGCTGTGTATACAAGAAAAAACTTGACTGTGTAATATTCATCAGATACAGCAGATCTGGAACGCTGGTCCTCTGTCCATTTTGTTCTCGAAAGGAGCCCACGTTGGGGCTTCCTGAACAAAAGAGAGCGCTTACAACCCGTGCCCCTTTTAAGAAAAAAAAAACATTTAAGCGAGTGTCAAAATGTATGGCAGTTGAGACAAATGATTCCTGATAGTATTTTCGTAGGACATTCATAGGACAGGAACTGTGCAACTAAAGCAGTTGACCTGGTTTACATACGCTGTTCACCGTTGATAGGGTATATTATGTGTGGACGGAGCATATGCCAACGTATTTGGGATAAAATGGCACCCAACAGTATGAGCTGCTTCCCTTGGTATCAGTGCTTCTCCTGGGATACTTGTGCATGAAGTCAATAGCCCTCAGTCCGAATATTAAGTTGATCTTTTGCGATCCGTTTATTTTGACGTGACTGTATTACGCCCGAAGTGTCTGGTAATTTAAGATGAAGGTAAATTGCTTTCGAAAAACATGCGTTTCGTGTCATAGAAGGCACTCCACTTACGTTCTGCTTACAGTGCGTCAGTTTGGGCATTCAAGGTAACACCAGTACCTTACACCGTTTTCACGACCAGCAATTCGCATTTGGCGACTGGTAGAATTTTGTTACCACGATCAAGTGGTAAGGGCGAATCCAAGGGGACTACGGGGAACATCCTTCACCCAGCACCCACAAAAAGGAGCCCATGAAAATTGTTTTGAAAAAAAACAAGAGAAAGGCAATTTACCGGGTTAATTAATTTTCTAAGCTTTCTTCTAACAACATGTATCCCAAAATGTAGCCACACTTCCAAAAAGGCCATGAAAGGTTACTTGAAAAACATTCGAAATTTTGGAACCCCCAAGAAGGCCCCTCCCCCCATACCCTTAGTTCAGTACTAGATGAGAGTACTTACAATACCTATAAAAGCATGAAAAAGCGAAGTACTTAACCATGCTGAGTAGAAATGCCCAGACAATTTTTATGAGCAATTACTCTTTTTTCCTTCTGGATATAAGACACAAAACCGAACCATGGAGTATCCATCATCAACGGACTCTCTCCATCACAAATTGGACAGGGGAATCAGTCGATGTAAGAAACAGATACGGTGTAATTATGAATGACCTTGGTATATTGAGCGCGTTGTTCCAACTGCCCCACAGAGCCAGTAATAATTAATAAACGACGGTACAGGCATCGTTAACCTACGGAGGGTTTGTGTTCTACTGTTACTCAAATTGCTCTACACTGCTGTCCACAGCTGTGTAGAACCTTTTTTCTCCTCAAAATACCGAGCAAAGAATATTGACCGAAGAGAAATTTGCCACCCAGCAATACATGATAAAAAATAACCGGGCCAGGGAAAAATCGCGGCGTTTGTGAAGACGCTTCATCGATACTTTTCCCAAAATGTAGGGCACCCTTGATGACAGAGCCATTTATGCATACGTTTCACACTGCTGAAGGTTTCTTGGACGACTGGTGGGAGTTTCACACCCTGGAATTTGGCTCGGTTAATCTTGAAGTCTTTGTTGCGACTGTCACCGAGGACAAAATTGAATTAGCGTTGGATGCGTTATAGGGTTTATCTGAGATGAAAATCCTACACTGCAGACTTTTGTCACAAAATAACATGAGGTGCTGGCTACCTTCGACAACATAGGTTTGCAATTCATAAATGTTGCATTCACGAAAAACGTGAGTCGTCAACAGTGAAAATTGACACCGGGTGTGTAAATTTCACACCGTCGGCGTTAAAGCGCCGTGTCTCTGGACTGTTCTCAGGTGTTTGACACGTACTCGGATATAGAGTCAGGATGTGTCAGCACAGCTGGCAGATATATCGTCACCGTGTTTACGGACGAAGGGACGGGCATGTGGATGTTGAAAAAAAAAGTTTTCGAGATAATCGCGAGAGAAGTTTCGCTTTGTACAAAACTGCAAAAACTACTGCCTTTGCAACAATTTTAAGCGTAAAAGAAACCTTTGCATGATTCTTTGAAAAAAATCGTGAACGCAGTAATTAGAATAAACACCGTAGGCCTAATTAATTAGCTGTTAAGACGCCCATCCTTTCGTGAGAAGTTTTCCTTCACTTCTGTCCCTCTTTCCAATGTGTTTTTCCATTATAGGAAGGGGCACCGTGTTTACTCGCGAAACTCAGAATGTGACGAAGTGCCTCGTCCCTTCATCAAATCGGCAATGCCAGTTAACCTACTTTTATACATTTCCCGGGAATACGTTTCATAGGTGTTTAAGGGACAGGCAATGCATGTTTGCGCCTTTATGGAAACGCAGAACGAATGCATGAAATCTCTGCCCCTTTCATCATAAATGTAATTTTGACATATTGCTTAATTGAAAAATGTGGAAAACGAAAAATTGTCACTTCTTTTGTGCTACCAAATTAATGTAAATTCAAAGGATTGTACGTTGACCTGACCGACGATTCCCTGATTGAAAATGACAGTATCATTTAGTATGGGCTGGTTCCTTGGTAGAAAATTAATTTTAACGTAGTGTTTGCTTGGTTCCCGCAGCTGTTGGTTTCGGTTTCCAGTTTTGATGTATATGCACGTTGGAACTTGCTGACATTTCTGGCAAATAAAATATATCACACCGCACCTTCCCTGTTTAAAAGCAATCTTTGTCCGCCCCTGTTAGAACAAGCCGAGGTTATTTGGAAACATACAAGCGAGGTTTGTGCCTCAAAATGACAGACCAATAGTTAAACAAAATGTGTAATAAGGTCGTGCAATCGAAAAGAGATGGTAGTTGCCGTTTGGCAATGATTGGGTATACTTAGCGAGAATCTGTCAACCTATTTTAACCTCGTTCTCAGGTTTCACTCGATTTTATTCACAGTTTATGAGAAATGGGCCTTCGTAAACCTCAATCCATGCTCTTTCATACTTCATTTCAAATGCATGCTTGGGATGATTGAAGTAACGTTCATTTCCCAAGGCTTAACTGAATATTTAGATGGATTATTTTTTTGTAATGAGTCCCCTCTGCGAGTATGTAAGCTAATCAAACCATCCAGCTTCGCTAGTGGAAACGATTGGCCAAAATAGGCCAACCGTTCTAACAGTATTTTATTAATTCTTTTACTGATAAATATGCCGCGAGAACAAAGAGATTCGATCGACCCTGTTTGAAATAAAGATGAGAGGCAAAACAGTTGCAGGTCGGCCTAGTTTTCTAGTTGCATAATTTTCCCACGGCACATGGTGAAAAGCTGTTGGCTTTTCTTAGGTTGCTGCACTTTTCTTTTAATTTGCCCGTCCAGTTGGAGAAAGAGCGGGAAATATGGAAATGTTTAAAGCATAATTTTTTGAGATATGACTTGAAAAGGAGGACTTTTTTTCAATTAAATTAGAAAACTGTGTATTGAATTTGGAAGGAAACAAGACAAATAGGAAGAAAAGCACAAAGGAGAACCCTACTCAGAAACAGAGGCTTGTTTTTGGATTACCCGTCACCCTCTGGTGGACCAGATCCACATATTTTCCGTGTATCCTTTAGCTTTTCTAACAGTCAAGCATGCTCATCAGCAGAAAAACTTTGATGCGTCCGTACGCTTGACTTAGTCTGGTTCTCCGATGATTCAGACCAGAAAATTGCCGACCTGATAATTTCAATGGACCGATTAGTGGGCTCAGCACGACCCACCTTTTGGCGAGCGCTTCGCCCTTCATTTCTATTGATAACCGTAATGGTTAGAAACGAGTGGTGTGCGTTGCGGAAATAAACAGGCTTTTTACTGTCATTGTGTTGCAGTCAATGCAAAGTTTGACGGGAATAAAGTTAAACTCATCTATTGTTGAGATGCAAATTTATGAGTTCGGCGACGTGGACTTTCATTTCAGGTATATAGGAAAGAGAATAATCTTCTTTCTCTTTATAAGTATGTAATGGTCGAAGAATTATTTAGTAAAATTTGCTAAAGAGATAAAAGAAAACAATCGAAACGCGTTAAATGAAATGACAGTAACATAGAAACGAAACCGTTTTGAAAGGTTGTTCTTCCCGTGAATTTTCAGCTTGATTAAGGTATCCTACGGGTTCACTGTGGGTTGGGTTGGGTTAGGTTGGGCCGGGTGGGGTTGGGTTGGGTTGTGTGGGTTGGGTTGGG